CCGACGAGATACTATTAAAGACCGACATCCTTACGGGAGTTCACGTCCTTGTGAATATTGAAGTGATTAAAGAGTTAAAAACTGATAATATTGTACTAATTTTATGATTTATTAGTTTAGTAGATGTATTTATGCATTTATAACTCAATAATACTCAATTTTTTTTTAAATTAAGATTTCAGTGTTATCATCAAAGTTTGATTATCAATAAAGATGATAAGTGCAGAGAAAAAATTGTAATTTTTTTGCAATATATAGGATATTACAGCTTTACAAGTATGTATATTTATTTATGAGACATTTGTATAATAAAAAATCATGAATTTGATAATGCATGAGCCAAATATTTATGTTAATAATAGTAAGTTTATATCAATTGTCAGTAATGTCAGCGTTCTTGAATTACCTCCGGGCCCTTGGGGCCCTTTTTATACCGCCCAAAATTTGCCCAGGGTTGATGGTCTTTAATAATATCTCGTCGGTGGTTATAATACACGCTAAACACGCAGTGCCCCGAAATAAACACAGCCATATTGGATTTTAATTGAATGGGCCCCCCATGATTGGTTGTCCACTCCTCACTACTTTTAGGCTACTGCGCATTCACGGGAATGACACACCTTCTATAATTCCATGATAAAAATACAAGGGTATGCTCATCAATTGTCTAAAACTCGTTCAGCTTGCGCATGTCCTTGCTTACGTCATATTCGGGTACGCGTTGATTGGTCGGTTCTGATTCGGGTGCAATCGGTGGTTATCGGTCGTAATTTATCATGGCGTCCATGGCGTAGTGCACGTTGTCATCGGTAGAAGTTAATGTTAAAAATATTTTCACGATGACCTGCATAGTGAAAGGATGCGGCAATTATATGAAAAAAACAAAAAAAACTGAGGGAAGTAAAATTAAATATTTTACCTTTCCAAAACAATCTAAAATTGCTGAACAGTGGCGTAAGCCACTCGTTGTGACGTAAGCAAGGACAAAAATCTGATTGGTCATGCGCATGAGCATACCCTTGTCTTTTTATCATGTATAATTCCACCATTGACCATGGTCCTGTGCAGTCCTGTGTTGTAATTAGTTGCAACGTTGAATTTGCTGACCGATCATTCTGGGTCGTTGTCGTCTTGTTGGTCGTGTACTCATTTTAAATTCGTTTTGGACTCGTCTAAAATAAAAACACAAAGAGGGTTCCAAATCGTGAATCCTGAGACATGATACGAACCACTTCGAGAATACGTAACGGATTAGTATGCGCAATCTTCCGTGGTTCCGTGCGAACCAGCACCAAATCCATAGTCATTCGGTATCTTCACAGAAAACATCAACAAAGGTATTATATCAGTTATTCGAGATCATCCTCTTGCTCGAATTCTTTTACAGGTCTTCCACATATTGTACACGAAGACTATCTTTAAGGTTATTTTACGTCAATTTCAACGCACGAACGGCCAGACCTACTTCTTAAGGCATAATATTTGCGTTTTAGTCTCGTCAGGATAGTTCTCGTCTTAAAACTTATATAATCATTGTCCAATGTGCACAAAAAAAACATGATGGCATAATATTGATTTTCTCAATACTTCAGACTTCAGCTTTACAGTGCTTTGCGTTTTATCTCGACACCATGGCAGCAACAGTTCAGGTTTTATGCCGATTATCCTAACCATATCAAGGTCCCGCTTCCAGCATTGTCTCCTACCATGGAAACGGGAACAATAATCAGCTGGCAGAAGAAGGAAGGTTAGACCATCTTCCAGTATTGACATAACAGATATAGATTTTAATTGTTAGAAAGAAAATTATTTGTTAAATACATTGATCAGTTTCTTATATTTGA